GTAAAATATTGTATTGTATCGGAACGAAAAGTGTTTCGACTTACCCCAACGTACCTTGGCTGCAGATATTCTTTCACATACGAGACGTAGTGTTGGTTGTCAATTAATGTCAAAGGCAACTCAGCACCAGCAACAAGTTTCACCATTCCGGTTCGAGCTCTCTCCTCCGAATACACCCATGTGGATAGGGTTGTAGCAGAACCACTGGCGTCTAAACTACCAAATTGCAATTGTGTTTGACAACTTGGAATAAGTCTGTGTTTAACCGCACATACTTTGTAATGGCGATTGAGATGGGTGGTACCAATTCCTCTTTGCCATGCTAATCTTTGTTGGCAGTATTTACATACTACTTTGAATTTTGGGCTTCCATTTACGATTTTTTCTGTTGAAATCAACTTAAAGTGATCCAAATATTTTACTTGTTTTTTCCCCTTTCGCTTTTCCCTTGCATCAGAAATGTTTAATTCAGCCTCTTATTCTTGATCGTGTTCCACTTCGAGAACGTCAACATCATCCAAATTAATTGGATAATTTGGATTGCCGCTTACATGATGATAAAGATCCAAATTTGGAATATCTTCAGGTAGGGGTACATCATTTAGACCTTCAAATTGACTTTGCTCTGTCATAGGCGATTCGTTTCCTCCCACACCGAACAAGTTTTCGACAAATGTGCGTGGATCCATTTGTTTAATTGTAATAAGTAATAACTAGTAAAAGAATAATTGTATAAATGTAGTGAGAAATGAAAATTGGATGAAATTTCAATAAATATAGTGAGAACTAAAAAATGAGAATTTAATATTGTATAAATTGTATATAAAAATTGCACAACTATCAACACAACACAAGAGAGTTGAGAGAAAGAGAATTGTAGAAAAAATAGTGGCTAAATGTCACTATTTATAGAAAAAGAAAAAAATAATAATAAAAAATAAAAAAAAGTTAAAGGACCGAAATGGTCAATGAAAAAATTCAGTGAATGTTAACGATCATAATTTTTTAAAAAAAAAAATAAAAAAAAATTCATGGACCGAAACGGTCACTGACAAAAGTCAGTGACTGTAACGGTCACTAAACAAAGTGACCGAAATGGTCACTTTTTCTCGCGGCTTGTTTCCTTTGCTAGCTGAGCGGGGCTTGGCTTGCCCACCAAACCGGCCAGCTCGGCTCGTGCTTGGGCTCGTGTTTTTACGAGTCCGAGCCGCCCACAAGCTTTGTTTTCGCGAGCCGACAAGCCGCTCGACCCATTTACCACCCCTATGTGCAGCAAGGGCCAAATCAGTGTCTATCTCATGGATGTCAACTTTTTTTGTCACTACTAAGTCATATTGATACGTGACTTGTGTAGCAACAATTCTTTCAAATAATTCCAATTCTTCATTCACAGTTAGGCCCCTTTGGATTGCTAAACATTTTTCATGAAAAATGGAAAATAACCAAGATTTTCCAACTTTTGTGTTGTTTGGTAGGACAAATTTTCCATCGAAAACCTTTTCCACTTTCCTTGACCACGTAGACAATTTCCCACTTTCTGATGAATTTGAATTTCATTTTCAATCTTACTGTAGCAAATTTTTTTCCCTATTTTTTGTTTTAAACAAATTTTAAGAATCATTATAAAAAAATATTTTCCTTTAATTGACAATTTCCATATAAAATAAAGCCAAACGAACACCAAAAGGTAGATGATTTCCTTGAATTTTTTATTTTTTTTTGTTGGCAATGGAAACTAAATCATCCCCAATATCAGTAAATTCTATTCCTTTAATTGACAATTTTCATGTAAAACAAAGTCAAACGAACACCAAAAAATACTTTTATTTCAACATTTTTCACGTGAAAAATTATAGCAATCAAATACAAAAAATTGAAAATTCTCAGAAAAATAATTTCTAGGCAATTCAATTCCCTGTAATTTGTTTTCTTTCCACCCAAATTTCATCTTTACAATCAAACGAACCCTTATAATTCCAATTGAACTGTTGGCTTCTAAACCCGCTGTTGTCCAACCTTGTGAAAGTGATTTCAAAAATTCGTGACCAAGACACTTTTCGAGCAAATCCTTGAACATCTCCCATGCCTTCTCCTTATCAAGTTGCTGAAACATAGCAAGTTCAAGCTTCAATATAGCAACTTTGGCTGGAGAGATATTTTATACAACAAAATTTATAACAAAGCCATCCTAAGTAGTAATACTTCTAGTAGCTCTCAATCCAACCACTTTCTTGCTCATCTCGTTATTTATGAGGGAAAAGCCATTGTCTAAAACATCATCCGCGGGTGTTTGGATTTTCAAATGCCCTCCCATGAAACTCGAGTCTATTGACAAAATATTAATGACACGTGTCTTAGTTGGAAATTTGGTCGCCAAAGTGTTGAATATCCTTGAGCAATTTGTGGAGTCAAGAATTTAGAGTCCAACAAAGTTCCCTCACCAACTACAGTCACTTGATTATCGCCAGTTCACCGTTGGCGGAAGCCCATGTCCCAGGGACTCATTCTATCTGAAACAAAGAACGGGTCTTTACTAACTTCAAAATATTCGATTTTAGGAAAGCCAAAAAAGGTGAGCGCTTGTTGAAACAAATTTATTTTTCCTTTTGTTCTCTCTGCCTTCTTAGTTTGCAAGTGCATTCAATGTCCCTATTCAATGAAAGATTTCTCCCTAATGAACGCATCATATACAGAATCCGTTCGATTAAAAATATTTAATTGAAATGACTATCATTTTTGTACAAAATAATATTTTTAGAACGTTATAAGAAATATACATATTGTTTTGTCCTTTATTTAAGTGTAGCAACACAAAAAAAATAAAAATAAAAAAAAAATAACAACCATATATCCTCTTTTAACTATTGGCATGACATTTATCTACTCCCGTTTTCTTCCAGCATAAGAAGAAATCTTAAGTTAGCTAAAGAAAGAAATATCAATGCCAAGATCATACAAAATTTATGCATGTGTGTTCCTTCATATAACAAAATCCACCTTGCTCAAAGAAATTTTGATATTATAACGAAACAGAGCAAGTTGGAGAGACGTATAATATTGTGTAATTGGAGACAAAGTATTCATGTCATGACATAATGTTACTTCCAATAGTCAGTAAGTACACACAAGAAAGAGTTGAAGACCAATTCTAATAGCTAAAGCAATACAGTCTAAGTTCTTCAAATTAAGTGTTACAACCACCTATATGTGAAACCTGTGTACGAGAGAAAAAATTTGGCCAATTATTGTTGAGAAATTTGTGGAACCTGTTAATCTAAATAATAAAACGTTGTCTCTTCAACAACTGCTCGAGGTAGCATCATGACATACAATTTCCTTATGACATTAAAGACTACATTTAAATAAATTTGGCCACTTAAGAGCTTGAAATTAGTAATTGCCATAACATGTATGTGAAATTGTTCCAAGTGTCAAACACTAAATATAAATTATTAAAATGTGCCCCCGTTGTTCAATAGGAGGTTCCATTTTGTCAAGAAAAATACATAAATTATAAGTTCTTGCTTTGTTATGCTTAAAAGGTGCTAAGTAGGAGCCAATTATTGGGTAGACTCAAAATTTGTTTATTTTGAACCAGAGAAGCACTTAAATAAGAACACCCAAACATGTAGTAGAACAGAACATTGATACAAAACAAAATTTCAAACATGGAGTACTATTGACTTGAACTGATTGTAACCCAATAAGATGAAGGCAAACTTATTGAACCAGATCTAGAAAGAAAGAAAGTGGCAGCTAATTCTCCAATTATGCATCAAATTATTCCATAAACAAATTTTCAAGATTTCTTGAAAGACAAGCAGATCTTGAAGTGTGAGGTTGTGTTAACCAGGCACGGGAAATAATTTGAGGAGTGTCTCAAGCTATCAAATGAAAGGGCCCAATAAATTACTTCAAATATTAGGCACAGACGAATCAATAACGACGAAAGTGCAACATATTAAGGAATCAAAAAGATCATAATTCCCATTCCTTTCATCGGCAATCAACAAGAAGAAAGGAAAAGGTTCAGACCAGTGGTGATTCAAAAACATAGCCCAAAGGAATCCAAGAGACGAAAGCATGCTTAAGAAAGATAGAAGTTCGGCATAGATAGATGGGATTTTAATTCCTAATATGTGAGTTCAGAGGCAATTGGCCCCCTTCAATACTTGGGGTAGTTACTTAGAAAAACTTTCCATCCCACATCTATTAAAAAATTTCAACGATGGATGCATTTTGAATCGAGGTTTTAGAAAATCTATATTCCTCTCTTTTAATTTTTTATAACATAAATGATGAGTCCAGATAGTAATTTGATTTTTCTTGAGATCTCGAAATTCTTTTTTTGATAGGTGAGATCTCCAAATTATATTAATGAAAATGTCTATTAGTATCTAAATGCATCATTTACTGGTTTTAACAACTAAAGGTGAGATAATAATTTGGTATTGGTACTTGTCATAAGCAAATGTCATAAGTTTACAAACAAAATTGATGCATAGAGCAATAGAGAAACAGTAGATATCTCTCTATGAATCCCAATTATCACATCTATTGCGAAGCATGAAAATTAAAGAAAGAGATATCTTAACATATTGATGTTTCTTGACAGAAATCCTGGTGAAAACAAGCAACGACAATAAAATCTCTCAGTTTCTAATTTTTCTAATTACTTACAGATCTTTTTAATTGATCTTCTATGATACCAAAACCATGAATTACAAAAACTAATTTTCTTCCTATATACTTTTTTGACCTTCATTACTTGGAGATTAAAATTGATTTAAATGAAATTAGAAATTAAATAAAATCCTAGAATTTCCCCCATAGTTTTATGGAAAAAAATCCATGCATATTGCAATGTCTGGTGAGGATGCAATCTGTTATTAAAGCTGTAATATAAATCCAATAAAATTATCAAATCAGCATCCTCATGAAACTCAAACTAATAACTGCAACCAAAATAAAAAAAATAAAATGTAAAATAGGACTTGAACTTCAGACAAAAAAAGAACTTGATAGAATTACTACAGTGAAACAATAACTCAAATACCAAAAGACTTAACCTTTGGATTAAGAGTCTTCACTTGGTCTTGAAATGAATTTCTAGGAAGAGAAAAGCTGCAATTTGTACAAGCAAGAATATATACAGTTCCGTGTAACTCAAGTAGGGCTTCCAGTACGATGGTGCAGCCTGTAAAAAGACAGTGCATTTCTAGATTTCTAATACAGCCAGCTTAGGACTATTTCAGAAACAAAATTATGTATTTAAGGGCCGTTCACCTGTCTACATTTTGAGTAATAGTGAAATTTATGCGGCTTGCTTTTTCAAGACATGCTACTGCTATATGAACAGTCCATGGTTGTGCTATAGTAAAACGTCTCCATCCAGCAAAGTTCCTTGCCCAATACCGTTGCCAGGCCTAAGTGGAATGCATAAATTGCTGCCCATTGATAATAGTGTGCATGTAAATTATAAGTTTAGATTATTTACAAGAAAACAATTGCAGATACATAAAAGAGAATAATTAAGTTCTGCTATTAATGGGTCTCTCTTTCAACGTTAGAGTTGATGAAAGATGAAATACAGTCCCTTTAGATTCAATTCAAATTCCATTCAGGTGTTTGAATGAGATGATGTCACTGGAAAAAGAAGCAACTTTTCATTCAATGCATTGTGTTACCGAAATTTAGGCCCATGTATGCAAAAGACTTCTGTACGATACTCAAAGAACGGATAATATGCCATCATTAAAGACAACCCACATTATTAAATAAATAAACTTAACCAACATAAAATCAAAATTCTTGACTTCCGAAAAAGAAACATCAGATATTTTAAATTGCTATTTTGCAGCATCAAAGTTGAAAGACAGCATGCATAAATGACTTCTCAATCTATCACTTCTATGCTATAACAATTGATGCAGCCTACAGACGGTTATTCAACTCAGTCATGAGCATCTTCAAAGTTTCTTATAACATGATTAAGTGGTGAAATTTGTTGCCTACATTTGTATTTTTTTGCGGTGAAGTCTGCATGGGAGTTAAATGTATCTGAGGCTTATTTATTCAGCCCAATACTCACATTCCATAAAACTACACAGGCCTTTTTATGGCTTAGGGGAATGAAGTTCACAAAAGCTTCATTGTTTCATTTTTTGCACAAGAGAACTCGAATCATGTCACTAAATTAAATTGTTGAATATTATTCCATTCCTGGCATTGCAATTCAAATGAAGTAGATAAAATAGTTTAAATTCAATTACACTTCTTATTGTATTGTATATAATAAGATTCATATAAAAATATTGTGTAATAAAATATTGTAAGAAAGGAAAAATACACTATCACATGGTCAAACCTGTATTTATACAAATGTGTAATGTTGTATAAACAACAAAAACACAAAAATAATTTAGAAAATCTTCACAATGAAGGTGTTTTTGCTTTCTTTTGTAAGGTATTAGTATATAAAGATAAAAACATGGCAATTCCATACTGAACACCAGAGTTCAAAATGAAGAGTAAAGAAGAACTACGTCTCCCACACAATTTATGATCCCTAATGGGTGATCTAGACATGATGTCGAATGATTCAGTGTCCCTGAACATGAAAAGTATTCCAGCAACACCCCTTCATCCTTCCAGTAATGATTTGTTATCAGTAAGCTCAGAACAGAAATGTCATATATTCCAAGGAGACTGGATTCCATTTCCTGAGGGATTCTATTACACTAATGAAACTAAATGTTTGATAGATGATAGACAGAAGTGTATGAAGTTTGGTAGACCAGATTCTGACTTCATGGAATGGAGATGGAAGCTAAGTGAATGCGAGTTACCTCTTTTCAGTGCCAATAGGTTTTTGGAACTTGTCAGAGGTAGGACACTGATTTTTGTGGCAAGAAATCAAATGCAGTGTTTGGTGTGCTTCTTAGGTAGTGTAAGGTTTTTACCTACAAAAATCAATATAGATGTATCTATACACAAACACAAGCATACATTCTCATCTGATGCATGTCAGCGGCTCACCGAAAAATTATATTCTACATGTCAACAACACCTTGTTGGAAGAAAATTAACTACAAAATTTCCACTTTCACCACCAAATTTCCCATTGTCAAACATGTCACTTTGAAACCAATTTTTTGTTCATTTGAAAATGGTTTTGAGCGTAAAAATATGTTAGCCAATCCTTTTGAAAGAAGAATGCTTTTTGATGTGGTCCCATCTTAAAATGAATTGTAGGGCTGCTCAAGTTTTAGCACAATATTTTTCATTTGGAACTTAACAAAAACCATCTTTCCTGCCTACCAACAATTCTTCCAGGAAAAAGAATAGATGTTCACCAAATAAGTCTCACCCCTAAAATTTCTCAAATGCCTTTAGCTAAAGGTGTAATAATGAAGAATAAGCAGTGTATCTGAAAAAAAATATTTTCATATCTAAGAAGAAGAAAGAGAAACATCAATGCAAGAAAAAACTTTATGGAACAAACACCTGTGGTTGGCTGGATATGCTGGTTGTGTACATGAAGGCAGCAAGACACCAGTGGATGGGAAAAAAAGCCGAGTTCTTACGGCCCGATGCAGGTGTGACGGCAAGGTGCCGTTGGATGGGGAAGAGAGCCAAGTTCTTCGGCGCCAGTGTCGATGTGACGGCGAAGGCGCTATGTGAATGAAAACCCTTGATTTCTTTTTCTCCACTACAACGTCTCTCAGACAAGATGATTGTAGAAACCAAAAGACAAGATAATTCTTCGGAGGAAAACCCTCGATTTTTCTCTCTCGTATAATCTCTCTCAGGATAATTCTAGAAACCAAAAGAAAAGATGAGATATTACGACTGCCTCCCCACCCAATATACGAATAGCTCAGTCGACCAACAATAAATCGCTTAGAAATTCTTCTGGTGGTGGAGAAATATGGCTTCTGAGCTCTCACTCACTTTCTATCTCCATATCTATATTTTGCATCACTCTCACACTTTTCTCTCTCTCTTCTTCACACCCATATTCTTTCTCTCTATATATATGACTGCATATTCTTAAACCCGTCTTTCTTTATTTTCTAAGGGTATGGAACGTTATGAATAATACTGAAAGATTCATCTAACTCATCTTTTTAAAGATGCAAGAAAATTGATTCTTTAACGACCTTTCGTGGCTGGTGGTAATGAAGTAAACGCTAGCGAATCAAATGTAATTTTGCATATTCTTTCTTATTTTTTTGGATTACTCGAAATTATTTTGGTTTTCATGGGCTATATTTAGGGATTTTTTTTAATAATGTTTTAGTCATAGAAATTGCTTTATTTTTTCTATTGGTTTCATCATCAATCATGGGTTTCAGTTTTTGTTTCTTTGTGCTTATTTTTTACTAACTTAGTACTAATTTAGCTAACTTTAATAAGTCGATTTTATGCTTGTCATTTGGAATTTTTAGGTTTTTTCTCGATCTTTATCATTTACATACCTTTGTAATGTATGCATGATTTTTCCATAATTTTCTTTTAATGGATCAAAAAATTATTTTAAAGTAAATTTAAGTATATTCTAAGTTAGCCCAAAATGGTATTATTGCCAATATTGACAAATAAAAAATTTATTTAGTTTTAAATTGACTTATTTATTTATAATTAAAGTTCTTTAAGCCTAGCTACACATCACCACCTTTCTAAAACGAGAAGTCGTTCATTCCGATCCAACAGCTAGCAAATTGTATGTTGTAACCGATGAGTTTCACTATATAATTTGTAGAAAGGAAAATTACAAAATCTCTCTCTCTTTTCTCCCAAGTGATACAGAAAGAGAAATTGATAGATATTATGAAAAAATTTCCCAATTTATGGTGCAATTAAACCCTATTGACACTTTCTCAATTACATTAATGTTGGATTGACACTTAATAATTCTCTTCTTAACAAATTTTATCAAGTTCCCATTTGTCAGTTCTGCAATCTTATCACCCAAAAATTCACTATTAAAAAACACTTCGTCAAAATCCACAATTCTAGACCCGTTTGGGGTCCGTTTAAAGTATAGAAGAAGTGGGATTCTCAAGTGGGTTGTGATCGATTCAGAGAAAAACACAAGGATGTTTTGGGAAGTTGGTCAATATCCTTGCAACATTTTGATGGTGAATTTGTGGTGAGTTGAGATGAATTATGTAAGTGTTTTGGTCAAACATTGGAATTGGATTCCTGGCAATATGGATTATTTGTACAAGATGTGAGTTCAGCTACTTGTGGACTAAATCTTCTGTTCTTACTGATAAACATGATACTCTTCTTGTCATGTGTTTGGCCGTGCTTACACTACATCACTAACTAAAATCCCACAAAATCAAAATCCAACATTTTACTTACACTATATCACTCACTACATGTGTAACGCACATGCATTCACTACTAGTAATTAGTAAAAGAATGGATGTCTAACGTTGATGGTCTAAATATAATATTTTGTGAAATTCAATAACAAGTATGATGGGTCTCACAACTTTTCAACTACACATTTTGTCAATATTTATTAAAATTTACTAAAAATCTGATTTTAATTTCCAGTGACTTGATTTATTTTATTCTCAATCAACATCAGCCATGGATGTGCATTCGATTTTACTATTTTATTAACAATATATGTTCCCTACAAAATTAGACATGAATAAACACAAAAAAATTCAGTATCATACAAAAGGTTCAAAGCAATATTGACACACACATCGAGAGACACAAAAAATAGACCATACGCTTCCTGGATCGAGATGCTAGCAAGCATCTACAGTAAATTCTCGATGATTAATTTTACGTGTCTGGGTTCCTCTTTTTTTTGTGGTCAGAGTTAGATCTGAGATTTACTGATGCTTACTGAAAGAGAAAATGAACTATAGATGCAGAAACTTGAAACTTATTCGAAGAAGAGAACAGATTCCTACAAATTGCACTGAATCTAAAGCTTAGCCGGAAAAGAAAACATATTCCCAAACTTTTTACTCAATTCTTTATAGATTTCTAGTTAGATTGTCAGATGTAGAATCATAGAAAGAAAGAGGAAAAAATGAGCCTTTGGTCAATATATTTCTCCATTAGAAAGAGATTGCAGAACTCATCCAATTCACCTGAGCAATATTCAAAACACTATCAATCCTGAAACGCTTCAATTGTCCCATTGGTAAACCCCCTTCCACGGAAGTGAAAAGCGAAAGAAAAGCCCACTGTTTTGTGCCACGCGGTTGAGCTTTCCGCTTTCCCATTATGACTTCCATTCTGACCAAAAACCACTGGGAATTTCACTTCAAAGGTGGGTATAGGTAGGAGTTGATAGCTTGCCTTTTCCATGACCGAAGGTTGAAGTAAATCGATCGAAGGGTTTAATCGACCCACTTCAGACAAATGTATGTCTGCCTCCATTCAAATGGGGAGATTGACTTCATTGACCTGGGCCACGAGCCAGAGACTTCGCTCAAACGAAATGGGGGGCGGGGTATTTCTATCAAACACAAAAAAAAAAAAAAAAAAAAAAAAATCCCCGATTTTTCTACCAGAATTTAATACGCATGTGCAGGCAAATAAAAAAAGGTAGACATGTACAGATCAAACTTTGTACCATAAATAAAATAAAATAAAAATAAAGTTATATGGAAATTTCAAAAAGCACAGTGCTCAAACCTCATAATCAAGTCAATCAGTTCATCTGCACCACAGTCAGTAAAAATATATTCAGATTCAATACCTGAATCTTCAGCAAGTATAGCTCACAAAATATGGCTTTTATTTGCATCAAGTTTTACATATCTTCAGGCTTCCTATTGGGGCACGTAAAGAATACCTGCACACATACCATCAATTTGCAGAAAGAAAATAAGGAGCAATGTAATAATAAACCTGACAAATAGCATAGCTTTTACAAAACAAAAATATTTTGAAGGGTAAATAGGAGTACAAGAAGAATTCAATAGGCACAGGACAAGTACAACAGTGATAACAAAATCAACTCATTGATTCAAGTATCAGAGAATTGGATATTTACATTATAGTTCATTTTGCCAACATTAACAAGTAAGATATTCATAGTCTATATGAACTCTAGAAGGGAAATCTAGCAAATATCAAAATGTATAAATTACAAGAAATATTAATAGGCAATATTAAGAAAATCAAATCTCTTCTTTATGCTCCCAATATTTTTTGTCTTCTATCTATCCTTAGTGAGGAAAATAAAGTAACTGATGAAGGAAAAGTTTCCATTTATCTCATTCGAATAAAAAACACAAATGAAGGGAGAAATTTCAACTTTTTATCATCTCATTCTTAATAAAAGTAACTTGTGTTACAATTGTACAGGTGTCTAGAGTTGCTATTTCATGTTCAACAACATAAATGATATGAAATAATGGCGATAGACATGAATTTAACACAAACACCAAACACATCAAAAAATATGAAAGCTGTAAATACTTCAAAAAAGAGAAGAAAGCAAATTTAAAAGCCCCTATTTAAGCTCAATAAAATAAATTTACATGTAAACTTAAAATTTTTCCCACATTTTAACCACACATTCTCTGAAAAATAACTACTACAAATATAGTCTTAAATGCTTAACCTTGAATGGCAGAATTGGTTAATAGGAGGATAGCTTGCGAAGATGAGGCTGAATAAATGAATCCCCAGTAACTAAGGCCCTGTTCTCTTTATCGTTTTCGGATCGTTTTCTGTTTTCGATTTTTCAAAACGGTGAAAACGCGTTCTCTTTCCCGTTTTCGAAAACGAATTTTCGAAAACGTTTTCGAAAACGAAAAAAAATTTGTGAAGAAAATACAAAACGACTTTTTTTTCGTTTTGGGCGTTTTCAGTGTAAAACTTGAAAAAATTGAAAACGCGGGAAACATTTCTTTTTTTTTTTTTTTTTTTTTTTTTGGGGGGGGGGGGGGGGTTTTTCAAAATTTTAAAAAAAATTAAAAATTAAAAAAAAAATTTTGAGGAGATAGTGTGGTGATTCTCAAAATTTCAAAAAAAAATAAAAATTAATTAATTAATTTTTTTATTTTTTTTTGGTGTTTTGAGGTGGTGTTGTGGTGATTCTCAAAATTTTAAAAAAAAAATTATTTTTTTTTGTTTTGAGAAACTAACAAAAAGAACGCATTTTCAATAATTTCAAAACAAACACTCAAAATACAAAATTCAAAATGAATTCAAAACACAAAATACAAAACTGAAACACAAAGAGAACACCCCCTAAGCATCCCAAATGCTATTGACTTTCCTCTTTTACGGGCACAAAGGAGGCCATATGTGTAATTCCACTATTATTTAGTTTTCCTTTGACTGAAAAGATGGAACCAAGTATGTGACTGGTTCTATCAGTGCAAACATATGAAGAAATGCAGAAAAAATCAATCGCCCCGATTTATTGTAAATCAGCGCAACAAGAAGCATTAATCTTACGATGATTGGAAAAATTCACATGACAAGGACAACATATACCTTTGACAGTCATTGAAGAATGAGATTGCAATAAGCAGGCACGGGAAAGAATTTGAGGAGTGTCTCAAGTTATCAAATGAAAGGACCCAATAAGTTACTTCAAATATTACGCACAGAAGAATCAATAACCATCAAAGTCTGACACATTAAGGAATGAAAAAGATCATAATTCCCATTCCTTTCATTAGCAATCAACAAGAAGAAAGGAAAAGGTTCAAACCAGTGGTGATTCAAAAATATAGCCTGAAGGAATCCAAGAAAGGAAAGCATGCAACGTGGCCAGTGCAACCTTGACAAGTTCACCTCTTTGAGATGCTGACAAAACATACAAGCATAGTTCATGAATGAGTTGAAACTGACTGTAAACAAACAACAAGTCCAAATTATTAGACAGCTTCAAGACTGTAGCCATGAATGTCAATTGTTTATCTGAAAATGTAGCCATTAAGAAAACCTTATACTAATGATTACCTGTTTAATGATTGCTCTAACTCCTTAATCTTCTGTATAGTTATTTCACCTCTCGAGAAGTCAAAGACCTCTTTACTTAAGAAA